AACAATATGGAATTTTCTGCAAAAACTAAAAACAGATCCACCATATGATCCAGCAATCTTACCACTGAATGTATATCCAGAGTGAATGAAATCAGTAAGCCAAAAAGATAGCTGCACGCTCACGTGTATTACAGTACCACTCATGACAGCCAACATAAGGAGTCAACGTAGGTATCCATCAGTGGATACGTAGGTGAAGGAAATGAGGTAGAGACACACATGGACTATAATTCAGCCACAGAAAATAATGAAATCCTGTCCTTTTCAGTAAGATGAATTGAACCAGAGGATATTATTTTAACTGAAATAAGTCGCACACAGAAAGTCAAATATCACATGTCCTCTCTCATTTGTAGAACCTAAAAGGTGTTGATCTGAATGTAGAATAGTGCTCATGAGATCCTGGGCAGGGTGGGGGAGGGCAATAGAGGAGGATGCGTAACAGTTAGATGGAAAGAGCAAGCTCAGGAGTGACTATAGTTCACGGTATACACACATATACCGCTGTTTATTTTATGAAGAACTAGAAGTAGAGGAGCTAGAAGTCTCTAAACATAAAGAAGTGATGGGAAGGCAGTTCCCATCACCCTTATATGATCCACCCATGCCGTAGACACGTGTTAAATATCACACTGTACAGCATAAATACACACAATTATTATTTGTGAATCCAAATCATTTTTAACAAAAGAGATTTCAAATAGTACCATTAATGATCCACATCGGTCTTTATTCTAGAACTAAATCTCTGTGTCTGACTGGGATTATGATGGTCATCATTTGTCCTTCTTTCTTTTTTTGTCTTCCTTTTTCTTCCTGTTTCTCTTCTTCCTCTTCCTCTCCTTCTTCTCCTCCTCCTCCTTCTTCTTCTATCCCATGAATCCTTTGACCAGTGTAAAGCAGTTTATTCATTCAATGCACATTTTGGAAAAAACAACAACATATATTCATTGAATTATTAAAATCCATACACAAAATCTCAATCAGACAGAGAAATGCAGATTAAAGTAATAATGAAATATCACTTCATGCAACAACCCTCATTCCTACAGGAGACACGAGGAAGAAGAACTCTAGCATCAATGGGTGGCAATGTGAAGCATTATGGCTTTTATGAAAAGCAACTATAAGTACCTATAGAATTATGTTTTGTGCACACATGGCCTAGTAATTGCACTGATGGGCATTTAGCCATAAATGTAAGAGAACTAGTATGTGGAGATACATATTCAAGGACATTTATTGCAGCATTGTTATTTTGAAAAAACAAAAACAAACACCAAATTAATTCCTATAATTAGGGGCATGCTTGAGAAAATATGTGGTTGAGGCATAGCATGGAATATTATGCAGCTTTATAAAAAATGGGACTGGACATATAGCTTTTGCTCTAGAGGTGTTTACATGAGGTTTTATGGAGTAAGATATGGAAAAGAGTAAACAATATTCTGCCTCTAAATTTTTTATTTTAAATTACAGAGAAACAAAAACAACAACAAAAAAAACCTCTTATTAGGTATATGAATGGTGTGTGTGTGTGTGTGTGTGTGTGTGCAAGGTCATACAATATAAATGATCACAATTTGGAGGAAAGTGTGGAAAGTTTTATTTCTAGTTCAGGAGCATGAGTTGAGGCATTATTATAGGAGGAAAAATAAAATAGAGGGAAGGAGATGTCAAACAAAAAAGGAATAAAAAGCAACACATTATTCTTTTGTGTAAAATTAGCTGTGTATGTGATAAAGAAATTTAAAACTTTAAAAGATAAATACCAAATAATAGGGCTGGGGTTGTGGCTCAGCGTAGAGCGCTTGCCTAGTATGTGCAAGGCCCTGGGTTCTATCATCAGCACCACATAAAAATAAATAAATAAAGATATTGAGTCCAACCAGAACTGAAAAATAAATATTTTTTTTAAAAGACCAAATAATAACATTTTATTCATCTTACAAGAAATTAAACTATTTATTTTGCTTCTTCCATCTTTCTGATCATCTCAAAAATTTTAATCCAAGATTATAAATTCCATTATTTGCTTCTAAAACATATTTATGCTGCTTTTCTTTCTTTCTTCTTGTGTTTTCCACTTGATATTTTCAATATTTTTACTTAAAATTTTGTCTTAAGTACATCTTGTTAAGTGTAGTGTCACATGCCTATAATCTCAGTTACCCGGGAGGCTGAGGCAGGAGGATGGGGAGTTCAAAGCCAGTCTCAGCAACTTAGTGAGGCCCCCCTAAGCAACTCAGCAAGACCCTATCTCTAATAAAATATAAAATATTAAAAAGGGCTGGGGATATGGCTTGGTGGTTAAGTGCCCCTGGGTTCAATCCCTGGTACCAAAACAAAAAAGAATGTCTTTCAGATGCTCAGTACACTAGTGTCTTGTCCTACCTGCCCTTTACTTTTTCATAGCACACATTTGCCAGGTGAGAACATGCCATCTGCTCATTTACCTCGGGTCATCCACACTAGACTATGCATGCTCTGAGCCAGGGATCGGGTCCTCTGTTAACATTGTGTCTCTAGTGCCTGGATGCAGGAGATGGCAGACAGTAAGTGCTCAAGCAATGCTTAAATGAATTTATGAGTGAATCTATTTTCTATTTTTCCTTTTGTATGCTTGAGTTCATTTCAATTACTCATGAATTTATTTAGCACATGTGTAAAGAATACTTGCTGTAGATGGAATCAACACGGAGCTACAATAGGAATCCCCAAAGAAGGCCTATGTTCCTGCAGGTGAAAAGACCAGGAAGGCAGTGATTACACAGAATGGTACGACAGAGGTAAGCATCAGGTATTACTGGGGAGCCAAGGAGGGGAACTTCAGGTCTACCTTAGCTTATGTGGGGGTGCAGGTAGGGGGAAACTTCTAGAAGGCAGTGCCCCAAGCGGGAAGCCCTGCAGTCTGAAGAGGGAACAGGTCCAGGGCCAGTGAGGAGGGCTGCATGGGTGGAGGGAGAGTGCCCATGGGAACCCCACCATCACCTGGCATTAGGAGCTGGAGGTGGGCAGGCATGGGAGGCTGGGAATGGTTTCCACGTTAGCACGACGCCCGAGGGTCAAGTTGCGGGGCACAGCCGTGTCCACGGAGGCATCCAATGGAATGGTACATAAAACTCTTGTTCTGTTGCCTCCACCAAAGTGGAATTGGAGGAGAAGGGGTGAAGGCAGCCTCGTACTATACCCCGGTGCCCATTTCCACTGGAGTTTGCTGGGTCTGCTCTTTGGTTTCAATCAATTCTGAGCCTCTGAAAATAGGTTTCCACCAACATGTCTCTGCTCAGGGAAAGTGAGACTCAAAGCCTAGAGCTCTGCTGCATCTCAGGGCCCAGCTCCGTGGGTCTGCAGAGGAAGGGGCCGCCCGAGAGCTCCTCTTCTCCCATCTCTGGGTGGGTGCTGAGCTCTGACCTCCCTTTCCTCTGCTGCAGTACTGTCCATGCTTCGTGCCTGAGTCCTGGCAACTAGTTGTAAGGGTTTTTGCTGGGTGTACTTCTAATTCCCCTTTCCAGCCCCCCTGGGTTTAGTAAGGATAATATCAACAGTCATTGTGCATTGGGTGGTTACTGTGGCTCATTTAGTCTTCACCAGAACTCTATGAGAGAGTAGCTATCATTTATTCCCATTTCCCAGATGGAGAAACCAAGACTTGGAAAGGTAAATAACCAGCACCAAGCCTTAGAGTCAGAAGGTGACACAGTCTCCTACTCTGACATCCCAGGCCTTGCCGATTTAGGAAGCCACACTTACTTCCCTTTAATTTCCAAATCACAGAAACTTGAGCTCCTGTTCTCTGCCATCACTGTCTATTCCTGGGGAGCACTGGTGTGTTCATCCAGGGCCTTCTGTGCTCCTCTCCAGCCCAGGGCATCCTCTGGCTCTGGAAGATGGCTTTATCTTCTCAGCATGACCCTATCTATGCAGGTTCAAGTTCAGCTTTCGCTGAGATGTTCCCACCCTCCTTTTACCATCTCTTCCTTAAGTGTGCCACTCCTAAGCAGACTGGGATATAGATTTTGACACCAGCTGGTTGAAATATGGACTGTGACATGTGGGACTCCCACACCAAGGTTTTACACTGAGTATGACCAAGGCTGCCCTCAGAGTCCAAGGCCCCTTCCCAGGGATCCCCTACTGATGGCATCCTTTCCTCCACTCTGGCTTGGTTCACTGGGGTGGAGGCTGGCCTCCCTATCTTGCCCTACTCTGTCATTTGTCAATAGGTCAACCCCAGAGGAAGTGTCCTTGAGCATGACAGTCCAAAGCACGATCCAACTGAGTCATGTACAAGGCCAACAGACAAGAGGCAGTTTTCCCTTACTTAATTCCAGATCCCACCTTCCAAATTATTATTTTCCAGCCCTATGATTAATCTTTGGAAAGTACGATTGACAATGGAAAACCAGCTTCCTTCAAGGAAACACCAGCCCTCGCCACAAGAATACCGCCCTACCCTTTGTCCCTTAAGAGGGCCCTTAAGAGAGCTGAACCTAAAGCATAAATCAAGATATTCCCCACTCTAGCTTATTTAGTCTTGAATGATACCATGCATGACCTATTAACAGTCCAAGATTAGCCCAAACCATTCATGTTCATCTTTCTCTAGTAACTGTATTGACCAGGACTGCAAGGCTTTCTGTCATCTTCAGGGTCCCCTCCAAAATCTGTGACCCAGTGCTTGAAGGTAACCCAGAAACCCCTCCCTAAAACAAGCAAAGTCATCCCACATAAGGCAGCTTAATCCCATCATTGTGAAAGAGGCGTTTCTTTAGAGGAAGTAAATCTATCTGCAGAGGTGCAACTCCGTCCAACCCTCCCCACCTGTACCACTCTCGTTCAAGATAACCTGTTAACATTGTCATGCAGTGAAACTTAGCTCTTTGGAAATCCTTTGCCCTTGCTTTGCTTAATCAGAAGGCCCATTGCCCAAGAACGAACCCAAGAACCAACCTCCAACAACAAAGGAAATCACTTGAACCTTTGAAATGATGGTTCTGTTCCAGCTTCCAATTTCCTCATGAGGATTACATAAACCCCAGGGCTCATTTCTGATTTGAGGATCCAGCTCAGAATGCCTTGGCCTTTTTCCATAAACAGTCTCTGCAAGGAGGAAGTTTCCAAAGCAGGTGATTTAAGAGTGACAGTAGCTAACATCACACCAAGCACTCACTCTGCACAGGTTCTATCTCATTTTCTAGCAGGAGAGTAAACCTCGGAAAGGTTAAGGATTTGCTCAAGATCCCATCGCTAATAACCACGAGAGCCATTATTTGAAGCTGATCAGTCTGACTTGAGCCCTCTTAAATGTGACCTGCATTGCTTCCCAGATGAGGAGCCAGAACACAGCCTGAGAATAAGAGCAACTGTTTCCCCTCTGCAGCTGACCATGGCTGCTGGGCATTCTTCTGGTGCAGATTGAGAAGTCAATATCCCTCTCTGGTGCATAAAGCTTTATATTTAGACCACAAAAGAGATACTGAAGCCTCCTGATCAGCCTCACCTGCCACCCTCCCTCCTTCTCCTACCCGACCTCTGCACTAAGCCTAAAGGAGAAGACAGCTCTGTGGTGCCATCTCCACTTCTCCACTGTCCAGAAGAACTGCTGAATACAGTCCTTGGGTCCTCTTCTCCACACTGTTATTTCCGTCGATGCTAACTTATCTCTGGGGCTAGCACTTGCTGCACGTGCTCACTTCTGACAGTGGCCCTGTGGTCACTGTTTTCTGTTGCTAATGACACAATACCATAGATTACGTTGTAAAGAAGAGGTTTAGTTTGGACTCATGATTCTGGTCCAAGGTCAAGGGGCCACCTTGACCTCGGTGATGACCTTCTTGCTGGCAGAGTCCCAAGGCAGTGCAGGGCAGCACATAGAGACAGTCAAGGAACATACAAGAGACCTAGTCAAACTGGCTTTTATAGCAGGCCCACTCTTGAGATAAGCCATTAACTCATTAATCCACTAATTGCACAAATGGATTAAACCATTCCTAAAGGCAGAACCTAATCACCTCTCAAGGTTTCACCTCATCCCACCTCTTAGTATATCATAATGGAGATTAAGTTTCCACAGGAGTTTGGAGGGAATAAACCATATTTAAACCACAGTGCCTACAGCTCCCTATCAACAAAGTCTTGAAAGCTAAAGGAGTAAGTTTGGGGCAAGGAATTGGTCAGAGAAGAAGATAATGGAACAAAGTCCCAAATTAGTGGAGGTTGTCAGCTAAATTGATCTCTCTATATTTTTCTTTCTCAATAAAGTCCTTTCTTATATCCCCGGAGCTCTCCAAGGATTCTCTCTCCCCCTTAGATCGCCAAACTAAGGCTGTGTTTTGGATGCAGACGACTCTTTATGATGTTTTGTAATTCAGGTTTATCAGTATCATGTTCAGTAGACACTTCTTTGAATCTGTGGCATTTGATTAACTAATTATATGTAATCCTCTTTATTTAAATTCTTTAATATAAGCACCAGTTTTAAATGAATCCAGGTCTTGGATGAATGAACTCTCAGAACAAAAAATATGATTGCAAGTATGGTTATTACATTATTATTGATAATGTTTGAGGGGTCAGAGAGAACTAGAAATGGGTCACAGCAATAGATCAACAAATGTTCAATATTTTTCATGTAGGCAAGATGGATAGCATGGGAAATTACAAGTTGACATACAGCTAGACACTAAAACACACTAGTAAGTGGCAAGCTCCTATACACTAGATTGCCATGCATAATCCATGGTCCTCAGGAGTAACTCACCCCAAATGATCTAGTCTGTTTCCACTTGGTTACTTGACTTATGAATTAGGAAGCAGGATGGGCCTGATTCCTTCTGGATTTTTTATGATGCTTCTCTTGAAACCTTAATAGGTAAGATGGAGAAATATGAGTTATCTGCTGGTAAATTAGGTGACTTTATAACTATATGGACAAGTATACCTGAAGGAGTATATTTAATCAGCAACTCTGAAAAAAATATTTTTTACATACTTGTCAGATTTACAAATCATGCCAAACTGCAAGGGATAACTAATAATTTAGAAGATAAAATTGGGATTCAAAATTTTTTTGATGGACTGGAATTGGAACAATAACAAAATGAGTGGGATAAAGTAAAGTTGTTATTCTGATAGATTAAGAGCAATAATATAAGCACACCCAGGAAGTGTAGGTGAGGGTTAGCCAGTAATGCCTTATATTGAATGGGTTGCTTTTGGCTGCAAGTAAGAACAACAACAACAAAAAAATGTAATTGGAGATAGACAAGTCAATTGGTCATCTCCTATAAAAAGGCGACAGAGGAAAAGCAGCTTTTGGTGTGAAAGCTTTGCTTCTTTGAGATGCTGCAGGATAGTGATTCTCAACTGGGTTAGTTTTGCTTCAAGGAGATACTTGGCAATGTCTGGAGATATTTTTTTTGGTCATCACAACTGGTGATATGGTGGGGATGTTGCCATTTCGTGGATAGAGACGCCAGAGATGCTGCTAAACATCTTACAATATACAAGACAGCCACTCAACCAAGAATTTTCTGACCCAAAATGTCATAGTTGGAGATTGAGAAACTTTGGTTTAGAATAACCCAGATCCAACTTTGAAGGGGTAAAGAATTGCTTTCCCCAAAGTCATGTTGGAGAGGGGTAGATATCTGAGCAAAATTGGGATTTGTTAGGAGTGAAGAAGGGGAGAGATGGATTTTGGAGCATCTGCAGTAGAGATAGTGCATTCTTATTAAAATATCTATCGCTTTGATTGACTCTATGTCAGGTCAGTGCTAACCCACAAGTGTTTGCACGAATTAAAAGACACCCCCCTTCTCAGACACTTTACTGCCATCTACTGGAAAATTATTGAAAAAAATATGTAAATCTACAACACATTATAAGTAGAGCCCCCTAGAGTTGTGCAGCACATAAACTCACAGTATCCCTCCAGTGAGTCTGACATGACTCAGCTATATAAACTGGCTCTCAAAGAAGTAACCCAGGACTTTACAAACAAGAACTGTATGTCATATTCCAAGTCAGAAAATTCAAAAATCTCACTGTAGCCTACATTGGTCAAACCACAACTGGAATTTTTTGTTCCATAACTGAAGATTAAAAATAAATGACCAAATGAAGTTGGCCTGGAGGAGAAAGAATTAAGAAGCTATAATATCTGAGTAGTGATTAAAAAAAAAAAAAAAGGAACTGGCACAGTACACAACATGTAATCCCAGCTGCTCAGGAGGTTGAGGCAGGAGGATAGCAAGTTCAAGGCCAGCATTGGGTGACTTAGTGAGATCCTGTCTCCAAATAACAAAACAGCTGGGGGTGTGGCTCAATGGTAGAGTATTTGCCTGGCATGCCTGAGTCCTTGGGTTCAATCTCTTCTACTGAGAAAAAGAGAGAGAGAGAGAGAGAGAGAGAGAGAGAGAGAGAGAGAGAGAGAGACAGAGATTTTTATCTCTATAAGGACGAGTTTCATAGCCAGGATTTCTGCCCAGGGGCTTCAAACAGAAGCTGGACAGCCATCTGTCAAGAGTTAGAGCCCTTCACTGTAAAGTGAAAGAGTTAAACCTGAATGACTTTCAAGTTCTTTCCTCCAATCCAAGTGGAGTGTGGCCCATGGGCTACAGAATTAGGAGTGTGATGATATTTCACATTAATTGATATTAATTAATTATATGCAATTACCTATATCACAAATCTTATTTCCAGTTTTTAAAATTTATCTTTTTAGATCTATTTAGGTATTTTGCTAGGCAGAAATTATCAGTAAAATCAGATTTAGTAAAATCCAATGATCTTTTATAACTTTAAAATTTACAGTTATACTTGGAAAGTTGTTTCAAATGAAAAGATTATGTAAATATTCTCCAATACTTTCATGGTAGTATGTTTTACATTTAATTAATGAGACTAAAAAATCTTTTGTGGTACTAAGTGCCTACAGATGCTATTTTCCCCACTTGGCCCTGGTGATGCACACCTGTAATCCCAGTGGCTTGGGAGGCTGTGGCAGGAGGATGGCAATTTCAAAGCCAGCCTCAGCAATTTAGCAAGGCCCTAAGTAACTCAGCAAGACCATATCTCTTAATAAAATATTAAAAAAAAGAGCTGGAGATGTGGCTCAGTATTTAAGTGCCCCTGGGTTCAATCCCCAGTGCCAAAAAAAACCACTATTTTCCCAAATATTTATTCAAATATTCTGATCCCATTTTATTTGAAAAAATCCTCATCCTATTAGTATGCTTGCCACTTTTTTACACACTTAGATCCCATACATATACATCATTTTTATACCCTTTATTCTTTTCAATTAATTGTGTTTTCTCTTTCTATACTTCTAGCATGCAATTTTTCTTACTGTGTCTTGGTAGTACTCTTTAACAGCTCATAGAATAAATTCCCTTTTAATATTCTTTTTACAAAATGAGAATTGATTTATTATGTTAGGATGTTAAAAATCCAATTACTCACAAATACATAGAATTTGTGTTTATAGGCACAGAATGACAGAATGAGAGTTGTTTTGTGTTTTTTTTTTTTCAAATCCCATTAGGATTTTTATTATAATTAAATCAAGAGCAATTTGGGAAGAATTGACATTATCACTCAATTAAATCCACCAAGGACTTTGTTGTATCTCTTTTATTTGTTAATTCAATAGTTTTCTGTATTCTTTAAGAAAATTAGAGAATTTTATGTTTTACATCTTATGTATTTCTTGTTAAATTTGTTACTAGTTATTTTATAGTTAAGTGAGTTCTTCCAATGAATTTTAAATTTTTAAAATTTTCTAACAGGTCATTGTCAGTATGTAGGAAACCTATTAATTGGGGGATTTTTATATAAATTTAATCTGGCTGCCTCACAGAATTCTCTTATTCTGTGATAGCTTATTCTCTCGGCTGTTTCCATTATCACAGCACGCACAAAAGTGGTGATTTTCTCCTTTTGGATTGCTCCATGTACTTCTGTATTTGAGACTCTCATTTTGGTTAGAACCTTCAGAGCAGTGAAAATAACAGCAGTGATTTGAGCATCTTTGTTTTACTCTTTGTTTTGGTGGTTTCTAGTTCTTCACCATTAAGGATACAGTTACTTTTTGTTGTTGTTTGTTTGTTTTAATACCAGGGATTGAATCCAGGGGTGTTTAACCACTGAGCCACCTCCCCAGCCCTTTTTTATGTTTTATTTAGAGACAGGGTCTCACCGAGTTGCTTAGGGCCCTGCTAAGTTGCTGAGGCTGACTTTGAAATTGCCATCCTCCTGCTTCAGCCTTCTGAGCTGCTAGGATTACAGGTGTGCATCAAAGTGCCTGCCTCTAGTTACTTTATGGTAAATAATTATATCATGTTAACATTTTCCTGACTCACTATGAGTTTTTTTGTGAAGGACAGAGTTTGAATTTGGCCAAATAATATTTTAGCATCTAATTTTCTTCTTTATTCTATTAATATAAATTAATGAATTTCTAGTAATGAAATGCTCTCAAACTTCTGGGATGCTTAGACCTGGCATTTAAAAAAAATCTTTCAATCCACTACTACATTGAAATTTCCAATAATTTATTTAGGATTTTTATACTTCCATAAATTTGTCTACGTTTTGATGCTATCTTTGTTAGATTTTAGCATCAGAGTTAATGGAGTCTCATGAAATGATTTATGAAGGACTTTATCTCTAAGTATAGATAAGACATTTTACCCTTTGGAGAGATGATAGAATTTACTTATAAAATCATTTGGTCTGAGGTCTTTGGGTTGTTATTTTATTACTTTCTTCTAGGAACTTTTAAGGTCTTCTACCTTTTCTGGAGCCAATTTTGTCATCTATGTTAGTTATGAAAGAGAGCTCATTTTATCTAAAATTTCAATTTTACTAAAATAAATCTATATAGGACACGAAACTTTTAAAAATTCTCCCTCCATGTAAATAGTGATGTTCTTTCTTATGTATAAATATTATTTTTTATTCTCTTTTTGCTTGCCAGTCTTGAAAGAGCTTTGTCTCTTGAAAATTCCTTTCAAATAAATTCTGCAAATACAGGGATCGAATCTATTTTGTTCATCTCAGCATCCTCAATGGTTTGGTGCAGTACTTGGGCATGTATTAGGCATGCAATAAATATTAATTGTTAGGGTAAATCAATAGAGCTTTGTTTTAATTTTTCTATGTCAATTCTTTTTCTCCCTGAGCTCTTAATTTCTTCCTCCTACTTTCCTTTAATGTTTCGTTATTTCTTTTCTAGTTTCTGGAATAAAATTCTCATCAAGTTCTTCTCCATTTTTTATTTATAATAAAATAATTAAAACAATGAATTCCACTCTGAATGCATCTTTGGCTTCACAATATAAGCTTTGATGTGTTTCTTTCTTCCTTCCTTTCTCTCTTTCTTTTACCCAGGATTGAACCCAGGAGCACTTAACCACTGAGCAACATCCCCAGTCCTTTTTATAATTTATTTAGAGCCAGGGTCTTACTGAGTTGCTTAGGGCCTTCTCCAGTTGCTGAGGCTTCCCTTGAACTTTTGATCCTCCTGCCTCAGCAACCCTGAGCCACTGGGATTACAGGCATGTGCCACCATGCCCAGCTATATATTCTCTTTTCTTAATTATTCATTTTTAAGTAGAAAAGAATTTTAAAAAATTGTTTCCAAGGGATTGTATTCTTACATAACTTATTGGTGTTGTGATAGGTTTTAGAAATTTGTGGAGAATTTGTTCATGTACTTGTACATGGTTCCTTTTGTAAATAATTCACAGGTATTTGGAGATAGTTTTTTCCTCTCTACTGCTTACAAAGTTCTATTTGGTATACATTACATTAAACTTAACAATTGTGTTATTTAAATCCTTTCCAGTGTTTGTTGCAT